AGCGGATTTTTTGTCTCATGTACTACTGTCAGGATATAGTGAAAGTTTTAGCAAATATGACAAAAAGTTATTTTTATGAAAGTTACCTACTGCAGCTTTAAGAATTCATTTGAAACTTTGTAAATTGCCTGAAAGCTGCTACACGTCCATTTAAACCAGACAGGCCAAGTATGTACAAAGTAATAACAAAAATGATGTATTCATAACTTTTTGTATAGTTGCATAATGTATGGTTGTCACAAAGTTGTTCTTTTTAAATATTCTCAGGTGAAAGCTGTTGTGCTGGACCCAAGAAATGGGTTTAATGTTGATCGCACGCTGACCAAACAAGACGTCCAAAAACTTGAAGAGGTGAGTTTAATGTATTATAATATTTTACATAATCCCCCCTCTGATTAAACTCTAACTACAGTACACAGTGGTAGCAAGGGCCCTGCTTGAATCAACACAATGTAAACACAGACACTCAAAAGCACATTGGTTTGTTTCTGATCTTCAACTGCAATGTTTCTTGCAGCTTTGTCTGGATAAGCTGATGGAAAAGTGCAGCCCGTCCCTCGACACAATCAAAATGCAAGTGTATTTTGATATGAATTACACCTCCCGACGTAAGTGTCACTGTGTGAAATTACATACTAATCCCCTCTGTTCCTAAAGTGAGGAATATACAGAACTCTCTTTAGGATGGAAACCAAACTGATTACCACAAATGTATTGTCACGTCAGAGGGCCTGACTTGAGTTTAGGCCTGCAACTAACAACTGTTTTCATTCAGCGATTGTTTGCAATGAATCTGACAATTACATGATCGATTAATCAACTGTTTATTCTATAACATAGTGAGAAATGCCCATCATAAATTTCTTCTCTCTTTAAAGCCTTTGTTTTGTCCAACAAACACTCTAATACCTGATTTCAGCGAGGCAAAAAGCAAATCCTCACATTGGACAAACTAAAACCAGAGAATATTTGATATTTTATTTAATAAATTACTTTACAATTTACAACTAAAATTTGATCATCAAAATTCTGCAAGGTAGATGATTATAGTTTCTTGTTTTGTCTATATACTTACTGTACTATCTATAGGCAAAATGCTGAGAACATCCAATATCACAATATGTTTGACCAAATTCTTGTTGATGTTTGTCATGATGATACTAAGGCTACACTTTCCAATAAAGTATTTGGTATGCTGCAACCTGTACAGCAGTGTTACCAACCTTTTTCTTCAAGGCAGCCCTTCTCAATGATTGATGATGAAGTGACATAGTTTATGAATATTTTAATGTTATATTTAATGTATAACAATTACAATAGAAAACAACTAATAAACTATACAATGAACCCAAACAGTGAACACAATAATTGCAGGAAGTTTGTGTAAAATTTGTGTTTTAAATTCATTTTGAGCTGATTATTTCCTGTGAATATTGAGAGATGAGTTTTCCTGATATTTTTAGGAATTGCAAAATCATACATAATAGGCTTTTTTTTTCTTTACAAATTCAGTGTTTTCTTCTCCCTTCTCCTTGTTCTATTAGTCTTTGACAGAGTGAAGGCTCTGTTAATATAGCTTGTGTTTAGGTTTTACCAGATAAAAAAATTAAATAATCTAAATCTAAACTAATTATATAGTTTTGTGTCACCCCTTAAAATCAAGAAGCTAGTTCAGACTTTTTTATCAGTTTAGAAGGAACACTTCAGACTCTGAATCTGTCATACATGCCTATGTTTGGATTAATGCTCTTTTTCCAGTTAAATCAATAAGCTTTAGTACGACTGTAGCAAGAGGAATGGGCCTCCCGTGTTTACAAATATATTATTATGCGGCTCAACTAAGGCCCTTGCTTTGTTTATGTACTCAGGCATACTCAGCAAGGTGGAAGGAGATTGAAAATCTATTGGCGGAAGGGATCCCACTAGAAGCAATTTTAACAGATGAGGAACTACAAAAAAAATTGCTAACAAGGGTAACTAGTGGTTCAACTTATCACTAAAAATATGGCAGGAAACTATAAAACTATGTAGGTTAGAAGTTCCTGCAAAATCGTTAAGATGGTGTGCCTACGATTCAAACTTTTTGCCGAATAGATGTGATGATAGATTAAAAAAATGGACCACAAAAGGTCTTACTAACTCCTACACATTTGTCCACAAGGGGGCGTTCCAAAACTTTGGTTCCCTACAGGAAAAACATGACCTGGGAAAGAGCGATTTCTTAGGTACCTTCAAGTTCGACACTATTTCGTTTAGAACTTGAACACAGCTTTGAAAACAGAAGGTATCCTAAAATTATTTTTGTCAGATAACTTACTTTATATAAAAAAGAAATGAGAGAAAGAGGGTAATTTTAACATCCCAGAGGAGAGTTGGCAAAGAGTGTGGGCATTTCAATGGAGTTCAACTAGTTCGTCCACGTGGCGTGAATTCTGCTGGAAAAATATTGTACGATTCTTTATTACTCCACAGCAAAAAGCACATTTTTGAGATGGCAGCAGTTGTTGGAGGCTCTGTGGGGAAAACAATGCCAACCACTTCCACATATTCTGGAGCTGCCAGGTTCTTGTCCCCTACTGGCAAGAAATACATAAACATGTTAACAATGTATTTGGTAGTAGTATTCCTCTCAGATATGATACTATTTACATGGGTGATATCCAATTAGATAGATGGAGTAATAACGACAAGAAACTTGCTCATATACTTCTGGCAGCAAGTAAAAAGGCTGTCACAAGGAGATGGCTAAAATCAGACCCACCAACTATTGAAGAGTGGATAGAAATAATACATGAAATTTATATTATGGAACGATTATCATTTTCCCTCAGGATCCAAAAAGAAAAATTTTACCTTATTTGGACCAAGTGGACTGAGTACATTAAACCAGTTAGTTCAGATTTTAAATGGACTTGACAATATGTTTGAAGAGATGTTGACATAATTAACGGATGTATGTACTAGACACAATAGGAAATGTAGGTATGGACATCAATAAGAAACGATGTGTATGTAAGTTTCTGTTTGATCTTGTTTTATGTATGCATGTATGGAGTGAAGAGCTTGCCACGTTTGACTATATATAGTTAACTATGCCCTATTGTTTAAAAAAATAAAAATACTTTTGGGCAACATTTGAATAATTGAAGAATGGAAAGTCTCAAAAATATGTTGTGACTTTATCAGTAATACAGCTGTAACTGTGTGAGACGATATGTAAGAATGTATTTGCCAAAAAAATAAAAATAAAAAGACTGTAGCAAGCTCTGCAGCAAAGCTTTTACATCTAAAAAAGGAGAGCATATTGCACGTTTTAGCCTTTTACCCTGACTGACTTTTTCTGTTGACTTTTAAAGCCTATGTACACACATTTTCGATGGAGAAACATTCTGTTATGATACAAACGTCATGCAGATATTTTGTGTGTTTGTGCAGGTGAGTTTCTGGAGGACATCCACCGGGTGTTGGAGTCCAAGCTGAGCACAGTGAGCAGAGAGATCACTGACAGCAGGGTGAAGACACGGGAGGAATTAGACGCTCTGTACCGTAAAATCATCACATACATCCTGCTGCGCTCCGCCCTGGCCTCACCTGCAGACACCAGCGCTGTGCAAGAGGCTACAGGTTTCACACTTAACTTGTGCTTTTAGTTTCAGAGCAACTATAGTCAGTGAAAGTATAGGAGTGCAGTATAGAGCAGTGCCACTTACTTTAACAACTCACAAATGATGTTCCAGTGCCTCAGACAGCTTTGGCAATTTCTTTACGCGTCTCTCTTCAAACACCATCTTGTTAATCATTACCACAACTTCACCGGAGCCCTCACACACACTGGCAACAACACAGTGTTACATGATGCATAGGACATCACTTTGAGTCATGTTTTTCAAACATATTTCCAAATACCTATATAGTTTTTGCAATGATAACTATGATTGATAACCAAAAAAAATGGTTTACCAAGGCCAGACGCAAACATTAAATAGCAATAACAAGTTGTATCTGTAATTGAGTTGTATCCTGACTCTTAATCCCTCTTCCTTCTCTCTTCTGCTCCCAGCTGCCCTGCAGAGCGTCTTCCCTCACACTGAACTAGGAGCCTTTATGGCGCTCTTAAAGAGGGACAAGGAGCAGCAGCTCAGTGAGCTCACCATGATTGTGACAGGGATCCGACTCTTCAACAAAGCCAGCAAGAAGAAGGAGACTAACTTTGAGGAACTGAGTACATACCAATGAGACTAGGTTATCTTCTTCACTAATGATCAGTACTCTGCATTTGGTAAGTATGGTAACTCCTTTAACATTCTCTCTGCAGTGCCTACAATTCTTAACGAGGCTCTTCCAGTCACCAGTAAAAGCATAGAAACAGAACTGAGGGCATCTCAGAGTTTGGCGTGGAAATACACAGCCCTGCTGGAGAAGCAAACGGTCACCAATAGTCAGCCCGTAGAGTTTGACATTCCTGTTGTCCTGCTCAGACAGGCTCTCTACAACGTCAGGCAGCACGAAGCTTTCCTCAAGATGTTACTGGTGAGTTAACAGTAGCTGGTAACTGTGCTTTCTGTAAATGTGGATTCCTTGTAGCTTACATCTATTGTAATTTATGTAAGGAATGCCTATTTTTGCAGCTTATTGTAAAAGAGCACAAGTGAATTCATGTCCTGTTAAGTGAAATGTTAAGTAAATGTGTTTTTCCATTCACTGCCAGGCTGATGCAGGTTTATGTGCCAAACACGTTGAAATCCTGCAGACTGAGCTCTCGTCACAGATAAAGCTGCTGAGAGAAACTGTGAAGTCTAAGACAGCTGTACCCACTGCAAAAGTGTTTGTAAGTGTTTCACAGCAGCCATTTTGACATGTAATAGCAGGGTAAACACAG